TGTCCCCACCCACATCTCACCTTGAATTGTAATAATTCCCATGTGTCAAGAGCAGGACCAGGTGAAAATAATTGAATTATGGGGTCATTTTGCTCATACTGTTCTTCTGGTAGTGAATAAGTCTCCAGAGATCTAATAGTTTTATAAGTAGGAGTTCTCCTGCCCAATATCTTGACTGCCACTATGTAAGACATGCCTTTGCTTCTCCTTTGCATTCCACCATGATTGTGTGGCCTCCCCAGCCATGTGGAACTGTGAATATATTAACCCTCTTTCCTTTATAATTTACCTAGTCTCAGATATGTCTTTATTAGCAGTGTAAGAACAGTCTAATGCAGTAGGTAAATGTTACCTGCAAAAACTTAAGCAAATATTTAACTCTGATTAATAATATACCACATATATAGGGACCAAGTGTACACATATTTGCAACTTACTTTGGACTGCATCAAAGAATAAGATGGATGAGAGAGAGATGGACATATGGATAAACATGTTCTCTGTATAATTCTTTCAACTTTTCTGTGTGTTTCAATACTTATAATAAAATGTTAGAAAAAATAACAGAATTTGCTTAAGTCCTCTAATATTGGAATTCTTGCATAAATTCTATAAAATAAAGCCCTGCTCACTGTCTCAAAGAAAATTAATTCCATATTCTTCCCTATGTCTATGAGGCATAGGGAATTAGGATGCTAAGCAGGAATTATTTGAATCCTTTTTCCATTATATATTTATTGCTTAAATATGTTACCTAAATGATGAATCAATGTTGTTGTATTATGAATTATTTATAAGTTGGTCACTGCTATGGCTGTATAGCACTCTGCTCTGCACTACAGTTAGTTACATCAATATTTATGCTGCTAGTAGGCCATAGTATTTTGATACCAGGAATTATTTGTATGTATTTTTCTGTTTGCAACATTAAACACACTGTTTTACATACAGTTGGTACCCTCAAATAATTTGTTAAACAGAATTACATTCTGATAATTGTTCACTTTTTTTACTTGCTCAAATGTCACTTTTTTTCTTTCTTAACAAATATGTTCTTCTATTCAGCCTTCCAACACTCTATGACCTTTTCTGAATTTTTAGAAAAATAGAACTGAAGTTTTTAATTAAAAGAGCAGTTTTGATTTTACGGTTAGAACTACTGATCATTCTTTGAATTGCATATAGTGCTGTTCCATGTGAGAAATAAAGGTTGCTCACATGTATTGTGTTAATGGCTTTTCAATAATTCTTCTCACCTAGAGGTGGAAGGACTTTACTAAATACCTTTTAAAATATCTGTCAGATTTCTTAGAATGATTATTTATAATAGTTTCTCTGCTAAACATTGTTTTTTAACAGTATGGCCATTCCTCAAAAAAATTAAAAATAAAATACCATAAGACCTAGCAATCCCAATACTGGGTATATATACTGGGTATATATTTAAAAAAAATAAAACCAGTGTGTCAAAAATATCTCCACTCCCGTATTTATTGTAGCATTATTTACAGTAGCCATATATGGAATAAATTTGTGCCTAACAACAGAAGAATGGATAGAAAATATATAGTAAATATGCACAATGGAATGCTGTTAAGCCACAAAATGAATGAAATCCTGTCATTTACAACAACATGGATAGACCTGAAGGACATAATGTTAAGTGAAATAAACCAGATGCATAAATACAAATACTTTGTGATCTCACTAATATGGAATTTAAAAACATGGAGTTGCCATACAGAGAATAGAAACAATAGTAGTTACCAGACATTGAGAGTCTAGGTGTGTGTGGAGGAGGAAGAAAGGGGAGGATAGGGCGATGTTGGTCAATGGGTACAAAGTTACAATTAGATAGGGGGAATAAATCTGGTGTTTTGTTGCACAGAAGATTGATGCTGTTTAAAGATAAGGTTTTTTGTATATTACAAAATAGCTAGAAGGGAGGCTTTTGAATGTTCTCATTGCAACAAAATGGTAAATGCATGAAGTGACAGATATGCTAAATATTGTGATCGTTATACAACATACATATCAAAACATCAAAGTAAACTTCATAAATATGCACAATTACAATGTGTCAATTAAAAAAAACACCTTGGTTTTTATATAATTCTGAGGACTTCATTGCAGATGCAAGCACTGAAGCATCATCTCGATTGCTGATGAATTTGCTGACAGTCATCACTGAGAGGACTTTTAGCTTTAGCACTAGTTGGTTCAGGAAGTCATTTATAAATGATAATAGATTTAAGTATTCAGGTAAACATGATTATTATGACAATAGAAAGAAGCTAGTAATAACCTGTGATTTCAAATCTAAGTAAAAGTAAGAAAATATAGGTGAAAGAGAATGAAACAATTCTGTGTAGAATTAAGTTCAAATGTATGTCAAGTATCTATTCATCCTGTTGAGTATCATGTCTAGGCTACAAAAAAGCATGAAACATGGACTCTGTCCTTGAGAGGCATATTTCAGTGCAAGAGGAGAAAACAATTACCGCATGGAACAAGAAAATATGTCATGTTACCACAGTCAGGTCCTTTCTGATTCACTCGCTTGAAACTTTCATAGAAAATACCAACTTTTCATTAGTTGGAGGTTCAGAAGCTATTTTCAAAGTAGATAAAAGGAAAATTCTTATTTCCTCACAGCTCTTCTCTTAAGTATAGTTCATGAAAAAGCCACATCTGTTCTAGAGAGTAGCCCTGAAATGAACTAGAAGTAGTACCTACAATCTCCGAGAGGCGGCCATGAATCTGGAAAAATTCATGATAGAAGAAAGAAACGAGGGGAAAGAAAATATAAAGCAAACATATTTTTAGAAGACAGGTAGCAGGAATGTTGGAAAAGTGGCTTTATTTTCTTGCATACATAGTCACTGCTCAGTACCAAATAATAGTGACAGCTCATTCCATAAATATGTGATTTTGATGAGGTTAAGTGCATATTATTTTTCAATTTTACAAGATAAAAATCTATTAGACTATTCTTATGAGATGGCCTATTAATAATAATCTCATCAATATCTGTATGGTTATTTCTTTGTAAATAAATATAATTTTAGATAAAAATAATTTTACATTAATATTTTAAGGATTTTAAATATTTCACTAAGCACATAAATAGACATCAATGCAATGGCTTCTGTTCTTATTTAGTATTAGTAAAGTCAGTACAGAAGAGTGAATAAGAATGTCTTCTCTGCAGCTCAACTCCCTCACTTCAAATTCCATGTAGACACTTAATAGCTGTGTTAATTCGAGTGAGTGAATTTACTTCTTTCTGGCTTAAATTTGTCATCTACAGTGGAATGTGCAATAATGATAATTATCTCATAGGATTGGTGTGAGGATTTAAAAGCTTAAGTATGTGTGTGTCTGTAATATTTTGTCTATTATCTATAGACATATATGTCTACATATAAATATATACATATATGTATATATATGTATGTATGTATATATTTATATGTAGATATATGTATTTATATTATATATATAAAATCTTCATTTTCTGCCACATAGTAAATAATTAAATAGTAATGCTTGCTATACAGATATAGGCACAAACTATTACATACATAAACATTGTTTATTATTTAGATCATTGTTTATATTTGCTACTATTGTAACTTGCTAAAGTATATGTACATATGCAACTTTATGAATTTTGTATGCAATATATGTATATCTAACATATGCACTTATATGTGATATTTCATGTCTATACATAGACATAGAATATATACTTTCACATATAGGCACAAAATATTTATATATTTATATTTTTATATTTTAGAACATTACCTGACACACACAATTATTTTCTGTTATTATTTCATGATAGCAATATGATGAGAAGAATACATATACAACTGGAAAATATTAAGCTTTTAGAAAATGTTTTACAAAAATACATTGTAATCCTGTTCAATATAATTAGAATTGCTCCTACCCCTTTCCATTTGGTTGTTTAAGCAACTTGAAACAACATAGTCTGCTTTTCAGGCTTTTTATTTTAGATATTGGCTAATTGTGGCTAAATTTAAATTACCAAGGCCAATTTACCCAGCAAATTTAGATTCCTGCCTATTTGACATCTACACTTGAATGTCTAATAGGCATCTCAAAGTGAATATGCCTAAATAAAACTACTGATTATCCACACCCCATAGCCTGTTCTTTATTATTTTCTATTTTTTTAATGGGCACCACCACCCATCAAGTTGGTAAGGTTTCAAACTGTAGATTCTTCATTGACTCTCTGTTTCCCATCCTAAATCCAGTTGATCCATTGGTGAGATCCAATTAGCTCTACATCCAAATACTATACGTAGACAATTCATGCATTTCATCCATTTTTGCTACCACTTGGGTACAAGGCCACTAACACCTTCGCTTTACACCTGGAACCATGGGAGTATAGTCACTGTATCTCTACCACTCCACAGCACCCTGAAGACTCCTCTCCAGAAACAGCTAGAATATCTTAAAAAAAAAAAAAAGAGGTGACGTCAGGCCGTGCGGCCGGGCTGGGACCAGGCGGCGGCTCGCGGAGGCACTTCCCCTAGCGTGACGCGAGGACACCGCTCCCCCGCGGCCCGCTCGCCAGCCGGCCTAGACGCCGCCTCCCTCCCTCGCTCCCTGAGCGCGCCAGGCGAGGGCCAGCGGCTGGGGCGACGCGGAGCGGAGAGGGCGGGCGGGCGGGCTGCGGGAGAGCCGGTCTCTATATGGCGGCGGCTCTGTCGGGCCTGGCTGTCCGGCTCTCGCGCTCGGCCGCCGCCCGCTCCTATGGGGTCTTCTGCAAGGGGCTGACTCGCACGCTGCTCATCTTCTTCGACCTGGCCTGGCGGCTGCGCATCAACTTCCCCTACCTCTACATCGTGGCTTCCATGATGCTCAACGTCCGCCTGCAGGTTCATATTGAGATCTATTGAAGGCCCTCCTGGACTGACACAGGCGTGACCTCAGGCCCATCCCATCCAAGAACAGGAAGCATGAGGGACAAAAGAGGGCCCCTTGGCACCTGCCTGGCACCAGTGCAGCGGGCCGGAGGAGGTGATTTGGACAAACTGTTACACAGCCTTAAGAAAAGAATGCTGAAGGAGGGCCCCAGGCCTGCAGATGCACCCTCCTGGATCAATAAGCCTGCGGTTGACAGAAAGTCACAGAGTGCTGCATTATCACTGGAAATGAGAAAGGATCCTAGTGGGGCTGGCCTCTGGCTTCACAGTGGTAACCCAGTGTTTCCACATGTGAAAGAATTAATAAGAAGAAATCTAGCCTCAGTAGCCACTCCGAGCGCAGCCATGGGTTTGTTCTCTGCTCCAACAGAGTGTTTTGCTGGGGTGTCCTGCAGTGGTGTTGAAGCTCTGAGGTGGGACTGGCAAGGAGGAGGGCCTGAGGCCGACGGCCACAGAGGACAGTGCCCCAAAGGAGAGCCTCAGGTGTCAGGACTGCCACACCATCAAAAACTGCTGGAAATGGGAAGTTGTCAGGATGACCCACCAAGTGATTTTCCCGAGGGTCTGGGCTCTGAGTTGGAACCCTCTTGCCTGCACTCCGTCCTGTCTGCAGTGCTGCACGTGTGTCTAGAAGTGCTCCTGGATGATGAGACAGAACGAGTTTTCCTTGACTGTTAAAGCCCATGTTTTCAAAGCAAACAATAGAATTCAAGAAAATGCTTAAAAGCACCTCAAATGGTCTCCAGATGACACTGGGGTTACTGGTTCTGCAACCTTTTGAATTAGCAAAATCATTATGCCATAGTTAAGGTCCAAGCAGAACAATAAAAATAGGTTAATTTTAAGAGTTGTCTTAGAACGATTTCTTTCCCATTAAGTCTGGATGCAAACCGTGCAGCCCTTCAGTTCCTGCTGTGGTTTTTTATGACTCGACAGACTTCAAGTAAATTGAGTTGAAATTCAAAGCTGGTTGATGTGGAAGAAACTTTTTTAGCATGTGTTAAATTGTGCTTTCAAAGACATAAAGAACTGGGAAACATTTCAGGAGACGCTCATAGCCTGTATAAATTTCAGATTAGAACATACAGATTTACCATGAAATTCTGTCTTCAACACTCATTCTAAAGGACTACTGTCCGAAGTCCTGTGTGTTCCTTCGGCTTGTCTGATCACCCAATGGAAGTGGATATTCGTGAAGTTTACACCGCTGTACTTGGCATTAAGCCTTGCTGAATTCGTAGTAAGCTGTTACCATTTCTGCATTTTGTAGATGGTTTTCGTCTGCAGCAGAATTCGATTTCCCTTCTCACAGCCCTTTCCTTCCACGTGAAATGGGATTTAGACAGAGGCCCTGGGGTGAAAGTTGCAATATTAAGCTTACCTTTAGAGGAGTCCCTTCTCAAACTCGGAACCCTAGAAGGGTTCCCTTCAACGAAAAAGAGCTTGAGAAAGAGGTAGCTCCATTACAGAGAAGCAAATCAAGTTACTTCCCTTCTAAAAAGTTTCCCGGATTCTAGGAATTGCAGTATCTTGTGCCCTCAGATTTTTCAGGTGACTCCTTTTGTTGTCTGCTGAGAACTTTAATAAAGATAATTTAAGGGCATAAGTTTTTAAGGACTCCCAAAGTGAGACTTAACCATTTTGGGGATTACTGATTGCATATACCAGTTTATATTGTGTGCCGAATTATGCCATGTGCTATTTTAGTGTTTGGAGGAAATGAAAAATAAAATTTGTTCTTTCGCTTAAAAAAAAAAAAAAAAAGAAAAATTAGAGAATGTCACTTCACTGCACAAAGCACTGCAATTATTTCCTATTGTGCTTATCTAAACCTGAGTGCCTAAGTGACACAAACCCAAGGCTATTCTCACGTAATTGCCTTTGGTCAAACGCAATCCCTCTCACTTTGTAGGTTTCAGCCACATTTCGATGTTTTGGGATCATGTCCAGTGTGTTCCTACCTCATACGTAGCCCTTGCATTTGCTCTTACCTCTATCTGGATCACTTTTCTCTTAGTTATCTTAATATCTGACTCATTTTTTTCCCTCCAAGTCTCAGCTTAAATGTCAATCCTTGAAAGAATCTTTCCTAACTACAATATTGCTCCTTTGTCATTTTCAATTCCCTTAGCTTATTTTAGTCATCTTCATAACATTTATTATTATTAATGACATATTTAATATTTATTTGTTTGTTTAATATTTTTCTTCTTAGTAGAATATAAATTAAACTTTATGAGGGAAAGGACATAATGTTTGATTTACTGCAATGGGTGTATGCCTAGTTAAGCCCTTTGCCCGTGGTAGATGAAAAACAAATATTTATTCACAAATGAATAAATGATCGGTAAATTCCAGTGTGTGTAAGATCATCACAACATTGAAAAGTAGTCAGTTGAAGTGGTGGTGGTGATTGTGGTTACAGTGCAGACCAAATAAAAGTTATAACATAATAGTCACTATTCAAGACTGGTTTTCCTATAGTTATAAAACTATCTAACCATAAAGCACTTAATGATTTGGGGAAAAAAATCCATAAGATGAGCTGATTTATACACCATTATTTACACCATTTCCCTAGAGATTAAATGTAAAGTGATTAATGAAAGCAATTTCAAAAGAAGAAGAAAGAACTAGAAAAAGTTGTTTTCTTAGTTACTGAAATAAACCTATACCTTTAAATATTAATAATTTTCCTGTGATAATTTATAAAGTAATACTTTAGATTCATAGTATTGATAAATATTTTAATTTTTCAATTGTTTTGAGATGATTAATTATATTTTAGTGGAGCTGTTAGCTCTCAATAAAATAATCCTTTTGAGTTGGATCAAGAAAATGCTTATAATGTCTTTCTATATAAGATGTATATATCCACAGGATGTCCACACAGGTTTTAAAATTGTTTTACAAACTTTAATTATCTGCCTTATGAAAAGCAATAATGATTAAATAGCAATAATGATTCAAATGATTGAAAAGGGTAGTGAGAACAAGAATCACACAAATCAAACAAGCCTGTAGTTTGATTTTACGCACAATTGTCACAGCACATAAGAGTACAGAGAGAGTGAGATAACCAAATAAGATAGATGAGAGATTAGAAAAGTATCATCACTCACTTGTGATTCTATTCCCTTTCCTCAGAAGGCAGACAAAACATATCATCTTTTTATCTACAGCTCAATAGAGCAAAATCTGAATGATGTCACCGTGAATGAAAATTATTTAATAGAAACTATTACAAGATGTGTTGAAGAATTACCCAAGGGAAAGAAAAGATAGGAAGATCATTTTATCAAATAACATAAGGTGCATATAAATATTATACACAGCATATTCCCATGATAGATATAGAATCAAATTTGAGATTTGTGACTCTTTCAGAAAAGCATCCAGGTTTGTGATGCTGGGAAGCTGCTTACTCCAAAGATAAATTACATCCCAAAGTCTTCAGACAACTACCAATGGCCTTGCATATGCCCATTTTTTTAATTTTACATTTTATATTTATTGAATAAATGCCAAGAAGTTTAAGTTATTGTGATGTGGCTTAATATAACCTATTTGACAAGGTATTGATTAATAAAATAATCTTTAATAGAGCTGTAATTTGTTATGGCATTTTATTGGTTAATACTAGAATCTAACAGATGTTTTCCAGTGGAGCCAATTCTTTGGGGAAATTAACATACATGAGATATGAGAAAAACATGTATTCAAAAGAAAAAAGTGCAGAAACAATGAAAACTCAAATCATATATTTATGCTAATGGGATCTTTTAGTTGTTTTGTTTTTATTTAACAGAAAAAGTTTTATATTTAAAACCCTCAAGCAACTATAAAAGGAATATAAATAGATTAAATCTTTCAAAGAGACTGATTCTAAGTATCTACAGGTAGTTTTAAAAGAGAAAAAAGTCTTGTCTTATACCAAAAAGTGTTCAGAAGTGGTCTATTATTAATAATTAATTTAGACTCCTCTGTCAAAACATTAGTCACATGTTTGCTATTAATGTCAGTTTAATCGATGCTTTCATGTGGAAATCTCAGATTTCTGCCTAATACTGCTTTTTAAGACAATACTTCAAGAATGGGGTAAGTGAGGAGGGAAGTTAATAAGAAATGTCTAATCATTCTTTAATTATCATTTTAAATAAATGACACTCAAATAGAAAATGTGATGAAAAATAGATTAAAATAGAGCTATTACTCACACATAATAGACAGTTTTTTTTCTCTCTATTTCAAAGCCAAACCATAACAGATAGGCAAGGACCCAACTAGTTAGATAAATGAAATATTTACTTGAATGTTATCAAGAATATGATGGGCAAATAACTAATTGAATGTGGCCTTTGTATAATAGACAGTAGAGTTCAAAAGAAAAGAAAACAAATACTGAAAACAAATCTTCATTGTACTGTTCATCTCTTCGCATTTATGCATGCTCATGTTTTTACGTCTTTCCTAGCTCTTTGAAACGATGCTTACGTAAGTGTTATTGCTTTTAAATATTCATGTCCTATGCCAGTTTGGAGGATATGGGTGGTTTAATGAAAAATATATAATACTTGAAGTTGTGAGATTTGTGTTCAAATTATGATGAGGTAGTGTTAAAACAAAATTATTTTACGCTTTTTAAAAGTATCCATTTTACGACTTGAGGGTCAATTTAATCATGACTATGCCACTGATTATATGTGTGCCTTTGAACATATATTTAAATGTTATAGTCTCAGGTCCCTTGTTTGTTAAATAGGGCAGATGACACGCATCTTAAATAATTGTTAGTAATTAAATATAGAAATGTCTAGCATGTTGCCAAGGGCATGGGAAACACAGTCAATATTAACTGAATCTGGAAAAAAAAAAAAATATTTAAATCTGAAAGTGTCCTGGGACACTTGGAAAAAAAAATTAGAAAACAAAAAACAGGAAAAAATAGTTTCACTGTTTTTTGTCCCAAAAGGAAGACAATGGATTCAATCAATAAGTTATTGATCCATGAGCTTAATATCTCTCAAGAGCAAAATTCTGCAATGGATTAAATACATGCTCTGTGAGAACTTACCAGAGGAAATGATTATAATCAGTAACCATTGAATATTTATAGAACATATATATTTTAAATGGACCTTCTATATATATTTCATAGGTTACATGACAATCTATGAAGGTGGTTGATTATAGCCAAACATTTGTGAGGTATTTACCAACATTATTTGTAAGTAATTAGTAAGTATTAGTAAGTATTCCTAAATCTATAAAAGTTTCAAGTCAAGCTAAGAAACAGTTACATAGAAAATTATTTTACCTTACAACTTCAAAAATGATAGCTCCATTACGATGAAATAAAAGTATGGATAAGCAATGGTTCTCACATGACTAAAAGTTGGGAAATATCAAGCATGATTAAATTTATTTATGATTCCATGCGTGTAAGTTGCTGCTGAGGCTAATACCTTTTAGATAAGTAATAAAGACTCACAATTCATAAATTGTTACATAGTTGTCTCATACATTGTTTTCTAGACTTCATGTTAGCAAAATCACTGTTTACATTATTAATAATTGCGATTTTCATTTAATTTTTGTTCTCCTGACCATATGATACAAATGATTAAAGAACTGTCATTGAATTTGTGTAGTATAAAATTAGTTCACAAAATGTAGGCATTAATGTAACATTATACAAAATAATCTCATAAAATATAATTATTTAAATAAAAAGTAAAATACAGTAAAAATAATACTTTAATAAAGCTGATTTTTAACAATTTAATTAGATCTTTTAAAATATTTCTTC